GCCCCTGGGCTAACTCTCCCACTCTGTCTGCCCTCAACTCCAGGAGGAGCAGCAGCGCCTGGCTGAGCTCTCCAAATCCAGCAAGCAGAACCTCTTCTTTGGCTCCCTTACCAGCCGCTTGTGGCCTCGCTCCAAACAGCCCTGACCTCTGGGCCTCCTCAAACTCAGTGCCTGGGTTCTGGGCCCCAGGCCCAGTGCTCCCAGACCACGGCTTGGCCAACCACATGTCCAATAAAGTTCATCCCAGACGCCACACTGCTGTGTCCGGAGAGTCTCCAGATGGGGGCATCAGGGTGCAGTGTGGGACTCTTCGGGGGGTCGTCCCACAGTGGCTGATCAGCTGCCAAGCAGCAAGGGCACTCTGGTGGGTGATGGTTGGTTTTTAACTCTGGCCTGGGAATCCGAAAACCTGTGTAGGGCCCTGCCCTGGCCGTGTCTTCCCATGTGCCACGTGGTCTGTGAAAGTGCATCTCCCTCTTTGGCCCCAGATTCCCTATGGAAAAGAGAGGATGGCACTGTGGGTTGAAATACAGGTAGCCGCCAGGCTGCTGTGTAAATGTGTGAAGTGTGGGCGCATGGGGCTTCGGTGGACCAAAGGCTGCCCCGCCCCATCTCACGAGGGCAGCTGCTGCTCAGCTCTGCCAGCCATGGCCCTGTGGGAAGGTGGGCCTAGAGTTGCTTGATCTGCTTTTTCAGTAGAAGCCAGGAAAGGGGTGGTTATATTAAATCTCCCAGTTTAAAAATGTTGGCTCCTAACTAAAACAGACTGTAGCAGCACTCTGCATTGGAGTTTTCCACGATGTGTACCCTGTGTCGTGTATCTCCACTGTCCGGTAGAGCAGCCAGTGGCCTCATGGGGCCATTGAGTACTTGAGATGTGGCAAGGGTAACTGAGGGATGAGATTTTTAATTTTGTTTCATTTTAATTAAATAGCCACGTGTGACTACTGGCTCCTGCAATGGACAGCGCATTTGGGTATTATTTAAGAGTGTTGAGTTCCAGACTGGTTTTTATTGGCCGTGCAGCAGCGCAGCATATGGGATCTTAGTTCCCTGACCAGGGATCAAAGCCTGCTGCAGTGGAAACGCGGAGTCTTAACCACTGGACCGCCAGAGAAGTCCCTCCAGACTTTTATAAACCCAAATCCAAGTTCGGATCCAAGCTCTATGCCACGTCCTGACTTGTGTGATCACAAGCAAATGAGCAAGTTACTTCCCCTCTCGGTGCCTCAGTTTCCACGTCTGTGAAATAATAGTACCTACCTCATAGGCTAGGCTTGAAGGCTGAGTGAGGTCCCCCCGGTAGGCACTCAGATGGTAGCTGTATGCACCTTGGGAGCACCTTTCTGCCTGCCTTTCCTCATCTTTAAAATGGGGGCGATGATAATACCCATTGTAATAGAGTGGCTGCGAGGAGTAAATGGGACAGCTCATGCTCAGGCTGCATGTATATTCAGTGGGGCTTATTGTTACCAGGCCATGTTGGTTCTTCCCAGACTGAAATATCCTGTACCGTTTTGGCAGTCGCCTACCCCCTGGCTGTCTCAGCCTCTCCTGCTCTAGCCAGCATTTAGTGCTTGTACCAGTTAGATACTTTTAAAAACCCTTCCCTGGTATTTGTGAAAAGAATTAAAATGTATTTGAAACTGTGTGGGCCAGATTGAACTTGAACTCTAGATTTTTAAGCAAGGCTCACAGATGTCTACAAATAAGTAACATTTGCAGCCCTCCACCCCCACCCTGAGGTGTACCATTTGTAATCCAGGAGAGAGTTTCCTCGATATCCTCAGGATTCCCTAGCTTGAGAGCATCTGCAGGATTGAGGGAGGGCCTGTGTTTCCTTTGCAGGTGGCTTTGAGTGTTGGAAACTCCTAACTGAAAGCAAGGTATTTGGGGAACATGATCCTGGGGAGAGAGTTTGTGGACGGAGGGAGCCACTGCAAGTGAGTGCTCGCCGACCACCGGGGGTGACCCATGGGACCTTCTGAGAAGCTTTTGAAATGTGGCTCAGATCTGTCCATCCACGGGGCATGAAAGGAGGAAGTACGCTTGTCCATTGGCCCGTGGCCCTGGGGGTTAAGGTTAGCACTCTGGGTGGCACATGCTTCAGTGTCCAGTGGGTTCCTCCAAGGCCTCTCCCCGACATTGATGCTGGTTCAGGGATGGTGCTGTCTGTCAGGTCACACCTGCTTAAAGCTGGATGGGAGGAGAAGGTTTGACTTGTGCCAGGTGGCCTCTGAGACGCTGCTTACGTGACATGGCGTAGGATGTTTATATCAAATGCTCGGTGCTAGGGCTGCATTAGGGCGTCATCCAGTGGGCAGGATTGGGCCAGTGTTGAGGCATATCCCAGCAGGGGCTGAATTCCCAGGTTGCACGCCACTTGCAAGCCCTGTGACCCTGGGCAAGGTCTCAAGCATCTCAGTTTACTCATTCATAAGAGGTTAATAATAGTACCTCTCATTTGCTTACTCAACAAATATTTCCTAAGTACTGACTGCCAGGCCTCATTTTAGGCACAAGGGTGTACTGGTGAACAAACTAGAGAAAAAGCTCTAGAAAAAAAGGAGCTGATGTTCTCATGGAGGAGACAAAGTGGTCACATATTTCTTGGGGTAAAATAAATGCATACAGGAAAGCATGGTAAGGAGATAGAGTGGTTTGGGAACAGGAGTGCTGTTTTAGATTGAATGGGACAGTCAGAGAAGGCCTCTTGGGAGGGTGTATTTGAGCAGAGACCAGAATGAAATGAGACAAACCATGGGGATATCTGGGTGTGCCGGGCATGGTCACCCCAGGGCCTTTGCACTTTCTATGCCCTCTGCCAGGAATGTTTTTTCCCCCAGGATCCATATAGCTCACTCCCTCCCCTCCTTCAGGTCTTTGCAGATGTCACCTCAGCATAGCCTTCTGTGGGCTCTAAGGTGGGCACATAAGGAAAAGTCCTAGATAGCCAAAAAGATGCTTGGAAATCCCTTAAAGTACACATACAGACTTGAGAGAATTCACATGAAACACTATCATGCCTGGCAGAAACCCTCAATAAAGGCTGGCTATTTTTACAATCTTTAAAAATTTTGAGATATCTCAGACGTGGAAACTGTTACCTCCCCAGTTATTATCCACGGCAGGAATTTGCCTTCTCCCACAGCTTCTAATAACTGTCCAGATCTCATTTGAATAGTTCCTATAATGGGAGGCTCACTCCTTTACCTACCCCAGTACAGGCCCTAATGTGCCTCCCATTAACTGGGGTCCACAAGGTCTGGCTCTGTGCTTTGGGGCCACAGAAACTGTTTGAGTAGGGGGATGTGGAGGGAGGGCCTTAAATGTCAACCTTAGAATTTCAGAAGCTGGGAGGCACTGGGGAGCCATGGAAGAGTCTATGTAGGAGAGGGACATGGTCAGATTTGTGCTTAGAAAGACCTCATAGGCCAGAGTGGTTGGAGTTGGGATAGAGGAGTCCCCAGGGGCTGTGGGAACTCAGAAGAGGTGCCTGACCCCCTTGGGGGGTGTTAGGGAAGGCCTCCTATAGGAGGTGAAGTCTGGTAACAATTTAAAAAGAAGGAAGTGGAAAGAATGTATCAAGTAGAAGAAAAACCTGTGCAAAGGAACCTGGGATGTTCTGCACAATTGACCATGGCCCTCCCCTGTTCAAAACCCTTCCATGACTCCCGTCCTCAGGATTATGAGAAAACTGTTTAGATTGAGTTCTTTCATTCATTAAAAATGAGCACTTACTGTATGCCTGGCTCTACTGGGCTGTGCTTTATTGAGCACCTTCTCCAAAAGAAAAATATGTACGTATATAATTGAACCTGTATTTCCCCCTATAATTATTAGCTTCTAAGTGTTAAATTTTTTTCTTCTGGAAAAAAAAAAAGTTTACTCCGTCTAAAGGGCTTTGCTCAGCACCTGGCAGAGTAAATGATTAGGACCGGAGGGCTGGAACATCTGCTCTAACTGGCTTTCCTTGCGGTGGTCCTGGAATACTAAGGAGCTTCTGGAGGGCGCCGGGTGCCCCCCCGCCCCCCATTCATCCTGGAGTGAGGGAGTGGGCCCCTGATCTGTGAGGACCGAATTTCCTGCCCATTTGCTGCTCACACCTTCCGGAGGCCAAACGGGCAGCCCAGCTGCGGCCCAAAGGGGGAGGGGCGCGGCCGCCCAGCAGATGGCAGCATTTACATACAGCTGGGAGCCCCCTCTGAGGCGGGGGCTCCTCGCCCTAGCGTCTGGTGCATCCGTGATGCGGGTTTGGGGAGGGTGGCTTTGTTTTGGGGAGGGGAAACACTCGAGCATGCGCGCGTGCACACACACACACAGACACACACGGGTCCACAAAGAACACTGGATCTTCATCGTATCCACACAGGGCTACACTCATGGACCTCCCACACCCAGCCTCCTTCACACACAAACCCTCAGCCATTCACAACCTTGCACAGACCTTACCACACACACAAACACACACAGCCACCTAGAGGCACCTGCACAGACCACAAAGTCACAGGTTCCTATGACTACACACAGTGGTGCAGGAGCTAACACATTTTTGTACACCTGAACAGAGAAGCATCTACACAGCCACAGAATCTCAAAAGTCACACAACCATGAAATCATGTACATCTCCATTCTCCCATGCAGGTGTGTGTGCGCGTGTATACACACACAGACACACACACACAGAATCTTAGAATTATTTACAACCTCCCAAAGAGGCTTAACAATATACAATTTCAAGCACATGTGGAGCCACACAATCTGACCTAGACACACAATCACAGTCATGTACACCCTCCAGTAGCTCTGGCTCACACACCACACACAGTTTTAAAATCATATCCAACCTCACACACAAGCTTAACCCCCCCCACCCCACCCTATCCTCAGCCACACAAATCGTACCCACAACCGCATATAAGATGTACACTCACTGCATTGCCTGTGGCCACGACACAGTCTCACGGCTGCTCCAGCACGCTCTCCTTCCCCTGCGACCTCCTCCCCTAGGGTTCCCTGCAGCCGGCGGCTGCCCGAAGGGGCGGAGCTGTCCTCTCAGATATAAGGCTCCGGAGCCAGCAGCTGCAGCTCCCAAGACCTCCGGAAGGCCATGGTCTCCCCGCAGATGCCCCAGCTCCTCTCCCCGACGGTGATCCTGGTGCTCTTTTTCCTTCCCCAGGTCGGAGCCCGAGTGGAAAGGGTGGATGGGAGGGTGTGCGACCCGGGGGTCTTGGGGAGGGGGCGCGGGGCGGATGAGACGTCTGGGTCCCCGCAGTCCCCTCACCCTGTACCCCTTTCCGCCCCAGACACGGCCGGCCGGCGTCTTCGAGCTGCAGATCCACTCTTTCGGGCCGGGACCAGGCCCGGGCGCCCCGCGGTCCCCCTGCAAGGCCGGGGACACCTGCCGCCTTTTCTTCAGGGTCTGCCTGAAGCCAGGGATCTCCGAGGAGGCCGCCGAGTCTCCGTGCACCCTGGGCGCGGCGCTGAGTGCGCGCGGACCGGTCTACACTGCGCAGCCCGGAGCGCCAGCGCCTGACTTGCCGCTGCCAGACGGCCTCATGCGCGTGCCCTTCCGGGACGCCTGGCCGGTGAGACCCAGCCCCGGGGCACGCTCGTGCTGGGGGCCTTACCCAAACCTCGACTGCCATCTACCCTCCAACTTCCAAGACCCTGCCCCCTGGGGACCCCAAATTCCCGGTAACTCCATCATCTGGAATCTCACATTCTCAGACCCATAAACCCTACCCATAAACCCAAATTTTCTGATTCCGAATTTCCCTCTAGGGAATCCCAGATCACAGCCTTGCATGCCTGGAACCCTGAATTCCCAGAACCCCAAACTCACCTTCTAGAAATCCTCAATTCACAGGACCCTACCCCTGTTCCTTGGGGATCCTTAAACACTGGTATCCTCATCTTTGTCCCCCAATTTCCTTGCACCTAGGGAGACTTTCACACTCTGTCTTGGGGACCCCCAATATCCTCTCACCTTATCTCTTCTCAGACCTTCCAGTTGAGGCCTGTATCCAGGACTTTTTCACCTCCAAAATCCTACTTCCCATCCCACAACCCCAAAAGCATAAAGGTGAACAGAATTGTTTTTGAATTCTAGATGCTTATGCTTTTGGGCAAGTGACTTTCCCTTTTCCAGCCTCAGTATCCTCATCTGTAAAATGGGATCATCATGGTACATTACAGTGGTCCCTTTTGAGAGATTCAACCAGGTATCTTGAGTATAGTGCTTACCACATAGTAAGTGCTCAATAAAGAAAGCCAAAACAGTCATTCCTTGCCTGGGCCAGCCTCTGGGAGTTGTCCCTTGCCTGTCTGGTCCCTGGAATGGTCATCACTCTTTACCTCTTAAAATCTGGGCTTCATTGAGTACCTACCGGCCCTGACCACTGTCTTCATTTTTCGCTCTCCACCTTCCTCCACCCGACCAGGGCACCTTCTCTCTCATCATTGAAACCTGGAGAGAGGAGTTAGGAGAACAGATTGGAGGTGAGTATCTTCAATTCTGGGACTTCAGTGTAGAGTGTGGGAGATCCAGGGAGTTGGGGCCCGATGTGAGGTCCAGGAGGGTGACATGGGGCTGTCTGTAGGGTGGGGCATTCATGGGATTGCTGGACCCATGATGTCATCACAGCTCCCGGAGTGTGGTGCTGGGTGTTGACAGCCCCAGGGCTCTTGGCATGTCGACACAGAAATGTCCTGATACCAGGCAAAGCGGGGTGGGGGCAGGGAGAGGCGGGAAGAAGCTCTCTTACTCTCTTGGAGTCGAAGCAGCAGCGTTTCACAGTCCTGCTCTGTCACCATCTGATTTTGAGAACCCAGGGTACAATATGAGTTACTTTCTGGTTCTTGTAGGCAAAGCTTTGTCACCTTGTCCATACAGAGGGCCTCAGGACCCCTTTGGGATGTTGCAGTTTCACCAGAGAGGTTTCAGGGAGGGATATGGGATGATCTTAACCTTAATTCGAGGGGGACTTTGATGCTATATAAGGCCCAGGGCGGGGGTTCTGTCACCATTTTGATATAGGAAAATCCTGAGGCACAATTTGGGGGTGTTTTTGACCTCACTTCAAAGACCTGTCATTGCCCCTTGGCCATATTAGGGATATCATATGTCCCAGGGTGTTAGGGGTCTCAGAGCTACTTTAATATACAAAGATTCTGGGGCAAAATATAGGGGCACTTCGGCTTCTCTGGGAGAACTGTTATCATCATGATGGTCACAGGGTTCGCGTCATCGAAGATCCCAGGGCGCATTAGGGGAGTTTGCAGCCTTGCTAAGTAACTGCCATTCTCAGGACTCAAAAGGGGTGTTTTGGCTTCTTAAGATGGGAAGGGAGAGTGCGAGCCTGCGCGCTCCGTCTCCATCCCGAGACCGAGGCGGGCCGCAGCCTAGCACATCTCCCTTCTCACCTCAGGGCCCGCTTGGAGCCTGCTGGCGCGCGTGGCGGGCCGGCGTCGCCTGGCGGCCGGGGGCCCGTGGGCCCGGGACGTGCAGCGCGCAGGCGCTTGGGAGCTGCGCTTCTCCTACCGCGCGCGCTGCGAGCCGCCGGCCGTTGGGGCCGCGTGCGCGCGCCTCTGCCGCTCGCGCGGCGCCCCCTCGCGGTGTGGCCCGGAACTGCGCCCCTGCCCGCAGATTGAGGACAAATGCGAGGCACCGCGTGAGTCCTGCGTTCAACCCCACCTCATCCCGTCACGGCCCCTCCGGCTCCTTTCACAACCTAGTTACCCTCTTCAGGGAACTGGGGACCCGAGAACCCCTCGCCAGCTTCACTCATGGTCTTCAGCCTGTTCCCATGATCCAGCTACCACTTTCTGGGAAGCTAAGGACCCTAGACTTCTCTCCAGCCCTGCCTGGGCACTCCAGCCCCCTTCCCTCTTCCCAGCACACTTGTCTCCCCAAAAAAGAACCGCACACCCATTTCCCATCCTTGTACCCCCCAGTTCCTCCCCTAATCCATACTCACACCCCTTTCCAGATGCTCGGACCCCAAAGCTCTTCTAATTCTGGGGCCCTCCCTACCCCCACTCAGGAGGTTTGGAAGCTCCTCCCATCCCCCCCCAGGGGTTCCACCATCCTCCCTCCCTGTGATCACACTCTAGACCCCACTGCGTTCTAAAGCTTGGGGTCCCCCAACCCACCCTAGATATCCCAATGTCTGAGCCCCACTGAAGCCCCTAGGACCCCCAGGCTTATCCAGATCCTCCCAGACCTCCCCTAATCCAAGGCCCTCCCATTTCCCCTGAAAGGCCAAGGGTCCCTCCTCAATCCTCTTCCTTCATTCTCCTCTCTCCAAGCTCAGACCTGGGAACCCCCACTCCATTCTTCTTCCAAGAGCACAGACTCTGGAACTCATTGGTCTGGGTTCAGATCCCAGCTGTGCCACTTCCTAGCTGGGTAAATCACCCTGCCTCTCAGGGCCTCAGTTTCCCTGTCTGTAAACTGGGAGTCACAATACCATCTAGCCCATTGGGTTGACAGTCACAAAGATGAAACAAGTGATGCACGGAAAGTGCTCAGAAATTTCTCTGATTTCCTATCCTCCCTTCATCAATATTCCTCTTCCCTCTGCCTCTCCTTCCCCCATAGCAGCATGTCGAGCAGGCTGCAGCCCAGAGCACGGCTTCTGTGAGCAGCCCGATGAATGTCGATGCCTGGAGGGCTGGACTGGGCCCCTCTGCACAATCCCTGTCTCCACCAGCAGCTGCCTCAGCCCCAGGGGCCCATCCTCTGCTACCACTGGATGCCTCGTACCCGGGCCTGGGCCCTGTGACGGGAATCCGTGTGCCAACGGAGGCAGCTGTAGTGTCAGTATCACACACACCCCCACCCCCCGATCCTAGGTAATACTTTTCCCAGGGAGTCCCCTGTCTGGGGCTCCATGAGACAACAGCCTTGGGGGGGGGGCGGCTGGGACAGCTATCAGGGAGGGCTTCCTGGAGGTGTCCAGCCTGCATCTGGGGCCTTGAAGTAGGATGACATGTTGGGGAGAGCAGCCCCAGTGGGTGGGACCTAAAGGTGTAGATGTGGGAATGATGAGGGGTCCTATCGGGCCACAAACTGCCCCACCTATGGGGTAGAGAACAAGTCAGAGCTCAAGGTAGGGGTGGTGGGGCCGAGTGGGTTGAGGATTAGGGAAGGGCGGGCATCAGAGAAGGCTTCTGAAGATGGACCCGGGCTGGGGCTTCTGAAGTAAGCCCCATTTGGCAGACAGGAGGCGACTGGAGAAGCTAGACCGGATGAGTGGCCTGGGGGAAAAGAAGGTGTGGTGGTGGGAGTGAGCCTGGGATGAACCAGAGCCTGGTGTGGGCCACCTGGACACTGCCACCACGGGACAGTGAGAAACGCTCAGCGTTCAAATTAGGGGGAGGGCCTGAGAAGGGGAGATCCAGGGAAGGCTCCATGGAGGAGGTGGGCTTAGAGCTAAGACCTGGAATTAGGCCTGGGCCATGAGGACAGCATCGGGGAGGGCAAACAGGGCAGGCAGCATTTGGCAGCAAAGGTGTAGAGGTGGGAACGGGATCTCTCCGGGCCTCCAGAGCCTCCCCTCTGTGGGGTTGGATGTGCAGACCCAGAAACGTGGAACAGAGAGTTTGTCTCGGCCTCAGGGACTTCCTCGGTGAGGCCTCTACACCCTAGGAGGTGGGACTAGACCAGGAGCAGCCCCCCAGTGGTCAAGACTGAGGAAGGGGGGACTTCCCTGGCGGTCCAGTGGTTAAGACTCCGTGCTTTCACCGCAGGAGGCATGGGTTCAATCTCTGGTCAGGGAACTAAGATCCCTCATGCCGCACCGAGCGGCGAAAAAAAAAAAAAAAAAAAGGCTAAGGAGAGGGATGGGATTTCTAAGGAGATGCTGACCAAAGTCCTCTTGCCTGTGCCCAGGAGACCCCGGGGTCCTTCGAATGCACCTGCCCCCGTGGGTTCTACGGGTTGCGGTGTGAGGTGAGCGGGGTGACATGTGCGGATGGACCTTGCTTCAACGGCGGTTTGTGTGTGGGAGGTGCGGACCCCAACTCTGCCTACATCTGCCGTTGCCCGCCCGGTTTCCAAGGCTCCAATTGTGAGAAGAGGGTAGACCGGTGCAGCCTGCAGCCATGCCGGAATGGTGAGGTGGGGAGCACAGAGCGGTGAGGGTGGGGAGTGGGGGTCCCTGCATGGTCAGTGGGCAAGAGCAGGGCTTGGCTCACACAGTCCCGGGTGGGGATCCTGACTTTGCCTCCTCTCGGTCTGCAGCTGGGCTCCCCTCTGCCCAGCCTCAGTTTGCTCTTCTGTAAAATGGGCGAGGTGACATTCCTATCTCATAACTATTTGTTGAGCATCTACTGTGTGCCAGGCCCTGTTCCGGGGATACAGTAGGGAATGAGATGAAAATCCCCACCCTCACAGAGGTGATGGAGCAGAGAGACAATAAAGTAGATCAATGAGTAAATATAGGAGGTTTTGTGGTGATAAAAACTAAGAAGAGGGAATCCCCTGGTGGTTAGGACTCTGTGGTTCCACTGCAGGGGGCATGGGTTCAATCCCTGGTCGGGGAGCTAAGATCCCAAAAGCCGTGAGGTGCCGCCAAAAATAAAACAAACAAAAAAAAAGAAAAAAAAGCCAGAAGGGGGATGAGAAGTAGTGTGTATGGGGTGGCAGGTTGACATTTTAGCTAGAGTGGGTAAGGAAGACCATGCTGCAGGTAGGGAGGCAGCCGTGTGGGGATCTGAGGGAAGAGTATGTTCCAGGCAGAGGGATGAACAAGTGCAAAGACCCTGAGGTAGGAATATGCCTGGTGTGTTCAGCATCGCAGGGAAGCCAGTGTGGTTGGAGCAGAGGGAGTGAGGGTAGGCTGGTGAGAGATGAGGTCAGGGAGGTGACTGGGACAGATCCTGTAGGGCTTCATGTGTTATGGGGAGGATTCTGGTGTTACCCTGAGATGGAGCCAGAGGAGGGTTGGGATGGAGGAAGAATCGGATGGCTTTCTGGAGGAGGGGACACCTGAGCACAGACCTGGAGGATGAGCTCGAGAAGAGAACAGGTGAAAAGAATGAGAGAAAAGGAGGAAGGGAAAAGGGAGAAGAAGGCATGGGCAAAGGCCAGATGGTTCAAACCCGTCGTTCCAGAACTGCTGAAACTATTTCAGTACGGTTAAAGCCGAGAGAAAAAGAGAAAGAGACCCAGAGAATCAAAGAGGTATGAGGCCGAGTTAATCCAAGACTTCACCAGGGGGAAAAGAGGCGGGTCGGTTTTACAGGCAAACTCCCAGAGGCTGGCCCTAGAGTTAGACGGTAGAGGGGCGCCCAGAGAAAAAATGAGGGCGGGGATCACCGAGCTGAGAAGAAATCGCGGGCGGGCTTCGAGCGGCGGGCCTGGGGGACTCCCCTCAATCGGGCCGCGCCCCTGACGCCCTCTTCCCCACAGGCGGGCTCTGCCTGGATCTGGGCCACGCCCTGCGCTGCCGCTGCCGCGCGGGCTTCGCGGGGCCGCGCTGCGAACACGACCTGGATGACTGCGCCAGCCGCGCCTGCGCCAACGGCGGCACCTGCCTGGAGGGCGGCGGCGCGCGCCGCTGCTCCTGCGCGCTGGGCTTCGGCGGCCGCGACTGCCGCGAGCGCGCCGACCCGTGCGCCGCGCGCCCCTGCGCCCACGGCGGGCGCTGCTACGCGCATTTCTCCGGTCTCGTCTGCGCCTGCGCGCCCGGCTATATGGGCGCGCGGTGCGAGTTCCCGGTTCACCCCGACGGCGCAGGCGCGTTGCCCGTGGCCCCGCCGGGTCTGAGGCCGGGGGACCCGGAGCGTTTCCTTTTGCCACCGGCTTTGGGACTGCTGGTGGCCGCGGGCTTGGCCGGCTCTGCGCTCTTGCTGGTCCACGTGCGACGCCGTGGCCCTGGCCGGGATACTGGGTCTCGCTTGCTGGCGGGGACACCGGAGCCATCGGTCCACGCGCTCCCTGATGCACTCAACAACATGAGGACAAGGGAAGGTGCCGGGGATGGCCCGAGGTGAGGGGCTTGGCCGCAGACGTAAGCCTTGTCCCTCTCGGCTTCTTGCATCAATCTCCGTAGTGCAATTGGCCTGATTCCTTGATGGGCCTTCCTTGATTGGTCCCTTTCTCTTATCCCAGCTCCAACCTTTTTCTGGTTGGGTCGTTTCACAATTCCTCTGGTTGGCTTTGGGTTCCCTTCCTTGGTGGGTGGGAAAACAAGATATGAGAATTTAAAGTGTCTGGATCTTACTCTTTTCCTCCCGCAGCCCGTCCTCAGATTGGAATCGCCCTGAAGATGGAGACGCTCGTTCGGTTTACGTCATATCTGCTCCTTGTATCTATGCTCGGGAGGTAGTTACCCACCTTTCCCCACCCTGCACACGTTGGGCATGCTGGGCAGAGGCAGCTCCTGCTTTTCCTGTAGCTCTCCTTTATCTGTAAAATGAAGAGGGTAGTGTCTCTGGAAGATCCTCTGCCCATTTTTCAGTTTTGACTTAATTTAGTTCTATCTTGCATGCCTTTTGCTATCGTTTTGAGCTACTTGGCATCTTCTCTTTGGATGACCTTTGGGCCTCAAGAGGTCACAGTGGGGAGCCTCAGCCAGAGCTTCTCCACTGATTTCCACTCACTGGGGAGAGGGAGGGGAGGTAGAGGGTCAGACCTTTCTAATGTTTCCTACTTTGTTTCTAGGCCTGAGCTGCCCCTTCTCCATCAGCACCTGGGGACAGAACCTGGATATTTTTGTATTCTCTGCTTCAGACACTTTGGAGTTCAAGCTGGAAGGGGTGAAGGGGAGGGTTTTACCATTGGAAGTTGTACATAATGGTTATTTATATCGTATCTCTTTTTCTCTCCCCATCTCTCCAGAGACATCTATAAAGGCTCTTAGTTTGATCAGCTTTGACTCATCAAGTTGAGTGCTTTGTATGTGGTTTTGGGGCTGAGGTGAGAGATTTTGTCTCCCAAGAATAATAGTCAGGACTCTACTGCAGGGGTCAGAAACAACTCAAAGTAGTTTAAATAAACAAGAGAATTTATTAGTTTATAAAAGTGAAAATCCTGTGGCAGGTGGTAGCTTTAGCAGGGCTAGATTCAGGGGCTCAGTGTTTTCCTCCAGTTGTCTCTAGGATGACTTCATATGTAGACAGGCTTTCATTGGCCCTGGCTTGTCACATGGCCTTGCTCAAACTAGGGGCCAGGCAGTATGGCTTATTTTGATTGGCCAGGCTTGGCCGTCTGTCTAGTGCGTGACAGGGATTAAGGTCAGCCTGTCCAAACCACATGGAATATGTGGGCAAAGGAGTGTCCCTTTCTGTATCAAAAATCAGCGTTTGTTACTAGATATAAGTACTGTACGTGGCAGGCAAACGGACAGAACCAGTCAGTGAGAGCAGAAAGTAACTATTTTACAGGGGAATGGGAGGCTCAGAGTGGAGTAACCGCTGCAGCTCCTTCCTGATGAGATGGAACAAATGTAGGTAAGATCTAGCAGAGAGGGGGGACCTTCCTAAATTTGGGGACTATCCTAAGACAGTTCATCACACATCTAATACTGCTTCTACCACTGAAAATATAAAAAGCCTGCATCAGCCAATTTCTGCCAATCCTCCTTCCCCATATTTTCTAGTGGGGAGTAGGCTGGGACAGTGGCCAAGCACTTTTGGAAATGAGCAAAATCATAGGAACTGAAGATGAGAGAACAGAGAAAAGTAACAAATGGAATATAGCAACAAATGAACAAATGAAGGAGTCCTTTTATTAGAACATCAGCCAAGGGATCCACATGTTCTTTTAATTCAGTCAACGATACCATATATTGAATAAATACTTATACATACAAATTCTCCTTTCAAGTTTCACTATATTGAATTTCTGTGTCAAGAGATTTAACTGTACCATTAAGGAATATGGACATTGAAACAAAAGCATACTATCAAATGATATTTAAATTGAGATTAAAGGCAGACATCAACACCAGCCCATTGTTCCTTCAAAGACAACGCGATATTCAGAGGCCGAGTCTTTGCTGCCTTGAACAAATTATACCACCTGCCGAGAGAGCAGAACTCAATTTAAAAGCAAAGATGGGAAACTGTGTTACACGCATCATGTATTTTTTAAAAAATTTATTTTTAGCTGCGTTGGGTCCTCGTTGCTGCGTGTGGGCTTTCTCTAGTTGCGGTGAGCGTGGGCTACTCTTCATTGCGGTGAACGGGCTTCTCATTGCGGTGGCTTCTCTCGTTGCAGAGCAGGGCTGTAGGTGCGCGGGCTTCAGTAGTTGCAGCATGTGGGCTCAGTAGTTGCGGCATGTGGGCTCAGTAGTTGTGGCACACGGGCTTAGTCGCTCTGTGGCATGTGGGATCTTCCCGGACCAGGGATCGAACTCGTGTTCCCTGAATTGGCAGGTGGATTCTTAACCACTGCGCCACGAGGGAAGTCCCTTCATCGTGTATTTTTGATCAGTGACTGCATGCAAGCTGAAGGCAGCAGCTGAATCCCATGGATTCCCCCCTTTGATGCACTTCTGGTGTCAAGGATGCCTCACCTATCTCAGAGTCTTGGCACCATCACTGTACATGTTGGTGAGTCATCACAGGAACAGTACTGGCTGGATTATCAAAGAGTGATGACCAGAGTCCTCTGATTCACCACCACAAGGGAAGAGTCCCACACCCAAGTCTGGAGGCCCTTTAAAGTGCAGGCTCTGTTTTATCGCTTTGCCTCATAGGCTGCTGCAGGCTCAGCCTAAGGTCGTAGCCTCTGGGGCAAGGAAGACTATCTGAGATGATCAGAGCTTGCAGGGAAGAGAAAGTTATTCTGGTCCAAATTCTTCACTTTAAAGGTGAAAGGAAGCAGGGCCCCAGAGGAGTAAGGTGGAAGGCATTGCACACCAAGGAGAAACTTGTCATTTTTTTTCTCTTTTGACAGAGCTTTAAATCTTTAAATCAGGCATACACTTATTGCATTTAGCACAATGGCAGTAGCAAATAAAGCAACCTAAATGATCACTCCAAAAAAGCACAAACCAAGACAAAAAAACCAAAAAGCCTACAAATGCACAGAAATCAGACTGCTTTGGTTCAGACCTTGGTTCTGCCATGTATTCAGACAAGTCACTTTACCTCTCGGTGCCTTAATTTCCTTATCTGTAAAATGAAACGTAGTAGAATCTGCTTCACAAGTTTGTGAGTATTAAATGAGTTAATAAGTACAAAGCATTTTACAACAGAGGCTGGCATGCAATAGATGCTCAGTAAATATTACTTCTCAATATTATGCTATAAGAGGAAAGCCCATTTGAAGTTCATTTCACAGAGGGGCAAAGTGAAGCCCAGAGAGGGGTAGACGCTTGCCTAGCATCGCACAGAAAATTCAGTGTCTTTCTTGATCTTCCTGGTTTCGGGGACCCAGGCCCAAGGTTTAGCACAGGAGGGGCTCTCAGGGGTTGGGAAGCACAGTGGACTTCGGTTTGAAACCCTTCCATGAATCTGAATAAGGTCTGTACCTGACCTAATAGTATTGGACTGGACTTCCCTGGTGGTCCAGCAGTTAAGAATCCACTTGTCAGCGCAGGGGACATGGGTTTGATCCCTGGTCCGAGAAGATCCCACATGCCTTAAGGCAACTAAGCCTGTGTGCCACAACTATTGAGCCACACGCCGCAACTAGAGAAAGCCCACGCGCAGCAATGAAGACCCAACACAGCCAAAAATAAATAAATAGAGAAGTTAAAAAATATGTTTATTAATTGATTATAAAATAAAATCTGCATTTTCAAGGAGAAAAGTCCTTTCCAGAGGTTTAGCAGATATGCTCTTAAATCTGATTGGCCATACTGGGGTCAAATGTCCATCTCAGGCCAATCAGTCCCTAGCAAATAGGAATGGATTGCCAAGCTCAGAGCAGCAATTCTCAAATTGTTTGGTCTCAGGCCCACCTACACTTGTAAAAGTTATTGATCGTCCCAAACAGCTTTTGTTTATGTGTATTCATCTACTGTTATTCATATCTTAGGAATTAAAACTGAGAAATCCTAAAACCAATTTAAAACAATAAGCCCATTACATGTTAACATAAATAATATTTTTTATGAAAATATAATCATTTCCCCAAAAAAATAATTCAGTGAGAAAAGTGACATTGTTTTACATTTTTTGCAAATCTTGGAGCATTTAGTCCCTTTATATTTAAGGTAATTAATTAATTAATTATTTTTATTTTTTTGCCGTACGCGGGCCTCTCACTGTTGTGGCCTCTCCCGTTGCGGAGCACAGGCTCCGGACGTGCAGGCTCAGCGGCCATGGCTCACGGGCGCAGCCGCTCCGCGGCATGTGGGATCTTCCTGGACCGGGGCACGAACCCGTGTCCCCTGCATCGGCAGGCGGACTCTCAACCACTGCGCCACCAGGGAAGCCCTTAAGGTAATTATTGATATGTATTTTTTTTTTCTGCACCATGAGGCTTATGGGATCTTTAGTTCCCCGAGCAGGGATCGAACCTGGGCCCTTGGAAGTGAGAGCGTGGAGTCCTAACCACTGGACTGCCAGGGAATTCCTGATATGTATGTTCTTATTGCCATTTTGTTAATTGCTTTGGATTTGTTTTTGTAGGTCTTTTTTTCCCCTTTCTTTTGTTCTCTTCTTTTGTGATTTGATGACTATCTCTAGTGTTAGGTTTGGATTCCTTTTTCTTTTCTTTTTCTTTTTTTTTTTTTTGCGGTACACGGGCCTCTCACTGTTGTGACCTCTCCCGTTGCGGAGCACAGGCTCCAGACACGCAGGCTCAGCGGCCATGGCCCCCGGGCCCAGCTGCTCCGCGGTATGTGGGATCTTCCCGGACTGGGGCACGAACCCGTGTCCCCTGCATCGGCAGGCGGACTCTTAACCACTGCGCCACCAGGGAAGCCCTACTGTGTGTGTGTGTTTTTTTTTTAATATGTAATTAATTAATTTTTGGCTGCACTGGGTCTTCACTGCTGCACGCGGGCTTTCTCTAGCTGCGGCGAGCGGGGGCTACTCTTCGTTGTGGTGCACGGGCTCTAGGCGCGCAGACTTCAGTAGTTGTGGTGCACGGGCTTAGTTGCTCCGCGGCATGCGGGACCCTCCCAGACCAGGGCTGGAACCCGTGTGCCCTGCACCGGCAGGCGGATTCCCAACCACTGTGCCACCAGGGAAGTCCCACAATTACTGTTTTTTGACATCATATTTTACATCTAATTGTTTTGTGTATTCCTTAACTGCTTATTGTGGATACAGATTGTGTATACAGATTTTACTACTTTTGTCTTTTAACCTCCCTACTAGCTTTGTGTGTGGATGATTTCCCACCTTTGCTGTATGTTTGACTTCGCCAGTGAGCCTTTTCTTTCCGTAGTATTCTTTTTTCTAGCTGTGGCCTTTTTTTTTTTTTTTCCGCTTAGAGAAGTTCCTTTAACATTTGTTGTGAAGCTGGTTTGATGGTGCTGAATTCTTTTAGCTTTTGCCTGTCTGTAAAGCTTTTGATTTCTCCATCAAATCTGAATGTGAGCCTTGCTGGGTTTCCTCATTTAAAAAATCTTATTTCTCTTTCCTCTTCTACTTGTATCACAGAGTTCTATCTTCAAGCTTGGTAATTCTCTTTTCCATATAGTGTGCTCTATTTCCAGTGCTTTCTAATGCATTCTTCATCTCGTTTATTTTGCTCTTCCGCTCCAGAATTTCTGTTTGATTCTTCTTTAGAGTTTCAATCTCTTTGGTAAAGTATTTCTTCTGTACATTAATTTTATTCCTGAGCTTACTGAACTACCTTTCTGAGTTTTCTTGTAGCTCCTTGAGTTTCTTCATAGAGCTATTTTAAATTCTCCATCAGTGAGATCTCAGTAGTCTGCGACTTGAAGTTTGGTTTCTGGAGAATTGTCATTTTCTTTCGTGTTACAGTGTTACCGTGGTTCTTCATGGTGCTTGATGAGTTGCTCCTCTGCCCATGCGTCTGAAGTAGGGGACACCTTTCTGCTTGATGCTAACGATTTAACAGATTAGAAACTGAGGTGTTTCAGGGAGTTCCCTGGCGGTGCAATGGTTAGCACTCGGCGCTTTCACTTCCATAGCCCCGGTTCTGTCCCTGGTGGGGGAACTAAGATCCGGCAAGCCAAGGGCCACGGCCAAAAAGAAAGAGAAAAAAAGAGAGAAAAAAAAAAAAAATTGAGGCGTTTCTTCTGTTTTCCAGTAGGTGGTGATATAGCACAAGGTTTGGGTTTCTCTTCCCTGCGCCGCCTCCGGTTATGTTTGAGAGTCTGCATTTTCCACACTCCACTGCCTTTATCGTTGCTTCAAGCCCTCTTTATTGCTCCTTGTGCCACCGGGGTCATTGGTGCCTTGTTTCCTGCTGGAAACACCACCAGGTGTTTCCGCCTGGGACTCGGAGATGGTGTGCTCTTCTCTTACATTCAGGATCCCCACCCCTTGCAGACTCCGCCCCTGGGGGAGGGCGAAGGTGGCGATGGTGGCGGGGGAGCGGTGTTGCACCTGGCGCCTCTGCCAGTATTGTAAGGTTTGCCGGCTCCACCGCTGCGAGTGGGTGGCCAGGGGTCAGAACTGTGGATGCCTCAGCAGCTGGAGGGATGGGATCTCAGGCTCCACTGCTACCGGTGACTGTGGGCACCGCTGCCGCTGGGAGGTTAGAGTCGTGTGTGCCGCTTCCTCTGCTATTGTTACTCGCTCTCTGGGACTGCGGCCTCAGCTGCCATGGCAGGAGAGCTGGGTTTGCGGGAACCACCTCCCTGTTCCCTCAGTTCCGCCTGCTCTGTGTGTCCCTGTACATCCCTCTGTAGCTGTTCAGATGTGTGAATTCTCTGGACACCTGGTGTGTTGGACAGAGGTACCTTTGTTGTGTTGTGGATATTTTAGCGGTTGTAGATTGAAGAGACAGAGTTTTTCATCTGCCATGTTGCTGACATCATTCTTCTGAAACAGTTATTTTTCATAAAACTGTTAACATGTAACTTTTTTTTTTTTTCGGTGTCTGTGCCTGACAGGCCTGTGGGATTTTAGTTCCCTGACCAGGGATCAAACCCGGGCCCTCGGCAGTGAGAGCTTGGAGTCCTAACCACTAGACCACCAGGGACTTCCCTAATGATTTTTAAAAATATTAAAAAATGAAGG